ATCTCCACCGATGGCTCTGTTGAGACGCAGCTAATTTTAAATCTGGATCTCAAGGCAAAGGAAAAACCTCTCTTACTGGCAAAACTGTCACAGTTGAACGCTGTGTTCAGATTACGGGAACAGGCTGCAAGACAGCACACACAATCCCTTTTTTGGGTACTTGGCATTAATTTTATCTGAAGTCACGGATTATATAAGAGGAGAGCAGAGACCTCACACGAGTTTCTTCTCCGTCAGTGTGGGACTCCCAAGGGGGCTAGGGATCCCTCCCATACTGAGTGCTTCCAGTCAGGCCATGCTGTGCATGTGGCACCCCCCAGCTGCCAGGAGACCAGGGATTGATGGCCTCTCCAGCAATTCTCCTGAAAAAATAAATAGGAGCACAAGAGTTTTCTGGAACTGTGTCCTGAGCTGTCCACACTATCAACTAGAGTTGACTTTTAAAGTCTTTATCTTCATCTAGACGAGAGAGTTTTGACCTCATCAAAACTCACTTTCATGACTGGCATCCAAACAAGCTCCAAATTAGGACTTTGTATTGTAAAAAAAAATAATAATAATAATAAAAAATCATCATTTTCTGATAAGGAAGCTGTTCCCCATAGTAATAATAAGTTAAGAACAAAATTAAAAATTGACCAGGAGTAGGATACTTAGCTCTGTACATCTGTTTGCTGTAACGGTTTAAGACAGCTTGACTTCACTCGTATTTGGAAAGGCAAACGCAGCCTGCTGAGCTGGCCAGCTGCCCTCAGACATCTGAGATTGTTTCATGACTCTGCAGATGAGAAAACTTCCATGGTCTCCTTCTTCCCACCAAAAGCCTGTCCTCAGACAGCTCTACATGCCTGGCACTGGTACAGGATGCCTCCACTGTATTTCAGCGGTTCACGTTGTCCATAAATCAACACACAATTTTATTAGTCCAATCAGTGACATTGCTAAAGGGATGCCCTAAATCACCCCGTGCTAGCATTTCAGACCAGAATGTTTCTAGTTGTTGTTTTTTTTTGCCAGTACTTTACCTCAGGTGTGGCAGGAGGTCCAGGGGTCCATCTGCAAACACGTCTCAGAATCCTACATGCTTCATTTTCCTGTCAAGAGACCTACAGGGAAAAATAAAAAAATAATAATAATAAAATAAAAATAAAATAAAAATCTGAATAACAGTTAGGAGAGCAATGACTGATCTCATCAACTCAATGCAAACTGGCGTGATGCTGCACACCCTTACCTAGATCACTTCTACAGAAGGTCTCTATCTGTATCTACAGTTGTGTGCCATCCTGGTCCAAACAGTTGACACCGTTTTCCATATGATTTCATGTTTCCTTTAAATTTGAAAATGATAGAAATCACAGCTGGGAGGGCCATCAAAACATTGCCTGGAATATCCCCCACTCAAAGATGATTTAACAATGGCTATCTCAGTCTTAGGAGCTGCTGTCCAGCATTTCTTAAAACCCTCAAATGTTGGCCTGAACAGACCATGCAGGTCGTCTGTTCCAGTCAGAGCTTTTTCCAATTTTCCCAGCAGTCTCAATGTTTCCCACTGCAGTTTAAGCCCACTGCTTCTCAGTGGGGTCCCCTTGGACATGAAAAACAAATGTCCTCTTCTCCCCTTGTGGTACTTTTACAGACTTCAAGTCTTCCACCTTTCCTTTGCTATTCTCAGCAATCCTCCCCCCTTTCTTGGGGACTGTTTTAGCTCTCAGGTTACCCTCTGCTTTTTTCTGGACTTCCTGCAGTCACTTGCATACTTTTCAGGCAGTAATGCAGAAACACACAGACCTGACACTGTGCTAGAGACCTTAACACCACAGAGCAAAGCTGAAAGGTTTCTAAATACATCTTGCAGCCTATATCCATCTTTGCACATCTGATAGGACATTTACTTCTTTGGCAATAAAGTGATGCTGTTGATGTGTATTTGTCTCAGCTGGGCTGAGTTACTGCCTTACTAGTTGGTCTCCATCTTTTATTATTCATTGTATTCCTGTCTTCTGAGTGCCAGCCTGTTTTTGCAGGCTGTTTCTCCAACTTTTAGAGTAGGTTTTAATTTCTAGCCTTACCCTTCAACACTTTCTCAGTCCTTCTCAGCTCTGTGCTATCCAAACCTGTGGAGATTTAATAAGCATTTTCTTCTCTTTTTCACTGCAAAGCTTATTAATAAATACCCTGGTCAGAATCATAATTATTCATTAGACACAAGTGCTGATGCAGTTTTGGAGCTTCCTTGCATTCCTGCAAACAAAATTTTGATTACCAGCACATCAAGTGAGATGGAATCAAAAAACTTTGTCCTGTCAACCTGTATCTGTTTTAGATGTTAACCTGCTCTCAAGGCTGCTAAGCCAGTAGAAAAGGAAATGAGGACTGCTTTTATGATTTGTTTCTGGCAACAACGACATCAAACACCTGCCCACAGCTTTGTTGTCTCCCCAGTGCTCAACATCTCTTTATTTCCTCTAGGTTTTTTCCTTTTATAGAATAATCTCTCATTCCTCAGCCTGAGTCGCTCAGTTCACACCAGCCTGCAGTGTGTGTTTTCCCGAGTTGCTGAGGAACAGCGATTTACCCTACTCAGCACAGAGGCACGGCAGGCTTGGGGGACGGCTCCTGGGGAATTCCTGGCAGAGCCTGCCCTGGCACTCCCAGCTCACAAGGGTTTCGCTTTCAAAATTGTCCAGAATGGCAGCTTTAAAAAAAAATAATAATAAAAAAGTCTTCTGCATAGTTATAGATGGTTGTTGCACAACTGTAAAAGATGGATGTGCAGGAATAAGCCTTGAAGAAACAGCTTCTGAAATAAAAACCTAGGATTTGCCAAGCACTTCTCGGTGCTGTGTGTGTTGGCAGGTCCTCTCCTGGTGTCACGGTCACCACAGCCCCTAAACCAGAGGAGCTTCAAGCCTGTAAGAAGCAACCCTCCTGTGTAAGGCATTCTTAAGCACAGCATTTATTTTACGAGCTTGGGCTCCCATCTCCTTCAGTTTTTAGCTATAATATTCCACCTGAGCCTCCTGACTTTTAGCCCTCTAAAAATAGCTTTATATTCAATTTGACACTTAACAGCACTACGGAGTGCTTGGCTACGCAGCAAATGAGGAGGGAAACTGCATATAGCACTGGCCTGCTCACATGGTGCAGACAGGCAAGGAGCAAACACTGCAGAGAAGAGTGCTGCATAAGGGAGACCTTGTCTGTTGATTTAACTCCCTAACCCTATTTTAACCACTGTCAACAAGATATAAGGGTGGTTTTCTGTTTGCACTGAGGCTTCTTTACACTGCTCAGTCCACACCCTAAAGTGGCATAAATGACTTCTAAGTGCCTTAAAGTAGGTCCTTAGTATAAATGCGAACCAACCCTGTCGTTTGCAAAATGGCTTTGAAAACATTGCCTGCGTCCATCCTATAAATGAATGTGGGTTTTTGGAAGAACACACAACCCAAGGTATGCTCACGTTATACGTAGCCTCTGAGGAGTTCAGCACAGGCTTAGGGGGCAGGCAGAGGGACAGGAAACAAGAAGTGTCTCCCCAAATGGCAAGCACAGAGAGATCCCCAAGGAATACATGCTCTGGTTTCATCATGAGCTTCTGCACCTATTTGTGTCCAAATGCAGCTTCAACTAAACTTTGAGGCAGCTTTAAAAAAAAAAAAAAAAAAAAAAAAAAAGCCTCCTAATGCTCACCTGTTTTGCACATCTAACATTTGGAAAGAAAGCACAGCTGTCTACAGTGTTGCTCACACACAGCAGTTACACCACTTTTTCTTGTTGATGATGAGCACAGGAGAAAGCACACTGCTCAAATAGGAGACAACAGTGAGATGAACCAGAAAAAGCGTTGAAGAGCCAGGAGCTAGCACAGACAACCAGAATATCAACCTTAAATTGTGATCGATGTGCGGTTTTCCTCCAGAGGCCAACAAAGACCTAAATTTTGCAATAGCATTTTGGGGCTTTTTGTAGCACTACAAATAGGAAACCAAAGAGCTGTCACAATCAATGGGATGCTCTAGGCAATCCCAACATTACCATGAGTTGTAATATCCTTCTCTGCTTACTATTAAGCTCTGCTCATGAAAGTCTTCCCCAAAGTTTTCAGCAATGAAGGATTTCGCAGCAGTGAAAGCAAGCAGAAACTGGTTCGGATAGGCAGTTTGTAATTGCAGAGCATACAGTAGCTGTGTGACTCCTTGAGCAGAAATCATTGCCCAGCAATGAGCACTACCATGTCAATCCTTGCTTTGGGTTTTACAGGTAAATACTGTTCAACCATAAGAGTATCAGGCCAGCCCTGGACTAATGCAAACATCTATGTATTTTATGATGATCTTGTTTTATATGTAATGGAAAATTAATGTTTTTTCAACGCCTTCTTGTCAGTCAGGACTCCCTTTCTTGGCTCAGCCCTCATTTTTGGTCAAAAGCCATCTGGTGCTCATTGCCTGGAGCCTGAGCTGTAAACCTCCCTGTCATCTTGCTCCTTTAACCAAGACAGTATTGAGTTAGTACGAAACAACTTGGTTTGATTTGTGGTGCTGTTGGTAATGAGCTCAGAGAAAATTTCAAGGGGAAATTAAAAGAAAAAAAATCCATATACTTTTCACTTCCAAAATAAGGGTGCATTTAACAACAGCCTGGTCAGACAGAAAGGAGTTCACCTCAGTTGTATTTTGCAGCATTACTTCATTAAACACTTTTTTCCAACACTTTAATCTACTTCAGGGTGTTAAAGACAGACATGAATTTTCCCTTACTCCTAGGATGTAAGGAAAGAATACACCTTATTCCAAATAGGATAAAAGTTGACTTTTAATGCTGGGGTACTGGGCAGTTCTATTTATTTGTCTGTGGAATAGACTCTGAACATTTTGATCTATCTTGGGCTCTCCAGGGGATACTCTGGTCCCCAGGAGCAATCCCAAATAGCTCAGGCTCAGTCTTCTAAATACAACCCCAGCTGTAGCTGAACATTGACGACAAGGGTGGCATTCATTCTGGGAAGGTTTTATTTCACAAATAATTCAGAAATAAAAAGAAAATGGAGGAAAAAAAGGTATTTTACAATTCTGTATTTAGAAAAAAATATATATAGTTTATAAACAAACACACAGCCCCTTGAAAAACATGCAAAGGCACACAAAAATTTACAAGAAACATTTACACATAGGAAGTAGTAAAATACATCATTTTTCATAGAAAAAAAAAAAAAAAAAAAAAAAAAAAGAAGAAAAAGCAACTCTATGAACTGGCCCTAAATGTTTAGACTGCACAACTGACCAAGTACACAACTGGAGGTTCTTCAACCAGCTGTTGGCTGAATGGCTGCTGATGACTTAAAATGGTGAAATGAATAGAGCCAGCAGACCCAAACGTGCACTGGCAGCTGGGGAAGCTAGAACAACCACTCGGCATCAGCTTTGCCAGGGGTTTAACCTGGATTTAGCAAGGATGCACCCAGGTGCTTCAAGATGGCACATGCTTACTAATCTGCTGAGCTAGGGTCTAAGGAGGAACGTATCTAGAGATGTAAAGACATGCTGCACCTTTAAGCTGCATTGAAATATGTTAGGCTAAGAAATGCTTTGGTATCAGAAGTAAAATCAGGAAATACTGGGCTAAAAACTGGTACTGTCCCACCTATATATGAATAGCTAGCACACGCAATTGCAAGCCATTGATATATCTTCACTGTCTTGGAGGACCTGATCACCCCTAATTCTGGTGGAGGTATGTTTAAATTAATAGCACCCAGGACCTCAAATGATATTTGTGTAGTAAAGTCACAATTTCTCTTTTGTACAACAAATATAAAAATAAACAGACACAGACTTAAATTATGATCAGTTTCTAAAAATCCAAACCAGTTGGCTGAAGATAAAAATACACAATTGTAGCTTGAATTAAGCGTTTTAGGATATTTCTGGTGGAAGGACAATTCCTCTCTTGCTCCCTTTCCATCAGGTAGATACATCCCGAGCTGTTTGGATTTTTATGTGCTCTACAATAATCCTCTAGACTTTTCCCCAAGAGCCCTCGCGTTTCTTTCCACCATTTTTACAGCATCCATGATTGTCACAGACAGCATATTAGAGGTGGGATCCTACACTAGCTTTGAGGCATGTTATGTGCTCTTGCAATCCGCATGGAATCAGTGGGAAGGAGGCCCCTGGACACCTGATGGCATCTCTTACACTTTCCAATTCAATAAATAGCACAGTGGCTACCATTTGGCCCATGATGGTCATAGACTCATACTGCAGCATTTAATGGGCTTGAACCAGACTGTGTATAGCATAATTATTTACAGAGGGCAGAAACAGGGAAGCCTTATCTCACTGCCAAGATCTTAAATGCTTCCAACCAGCAGCTTTCCTAAAATATGTCCTGGCTGTTTTTAATATCAATTTACCTAATAAGAAAAAAAGTTTTTCTATCTAAAGCAACTACTGCACACCTTGGAAGACAATACCACACAAACAAAGATGACACACAGTCATTTCTCTACGTCCCCCTCCAAAGGTAGGTTTGCTGTGCAGCACTTTTGGAGACAATTGCAATTCCAACTTATTTTACAGCAGGTCTCTTTCCAAATTCAGATTTCACAAAGAAGGAAACCCCAACGGTGAGACAAGCTGAGTGATAAATGTAATTTCTTTGCTAATTTCATGGCATTTGCAGAATTAAAGAAGTGCTTAATCGTATTAACAGTTTTGGTCTGTGTTTTAAAACAGCTTGAAGACATTGTTTTTATATCTCTCTAGATTAAACTGAACACAGCCTGAGCATACAAGTGGCCATGAGACATCTGCCAAATAGAGTGAAATTTTTCCCATTTGTTATAGAATATTACAATCAATTTAGTGAGCTGCAGGATTGTATTTTACAGGAACTGAAGAACTAAAGTTTGTGTTGCTTTCTCATGATTAATGAAGTTACTGGATGTGTGTGTGTAAAAGACAACCAGACTTGTGTTTAGACCGAGCCTAAAATTAATTTCCAATATGAAGTAGAGAAGAGTCTCCTGCCTTAAAGAGCAGCTCAGACCAGGCTATTCTCTTGGCTTTGAAGTGCTTTGGATGCATGTTGAGACATAAATAACAAAACATTAAATAGTATCACTGCAACATCTATAGGTTTCGCAAAACAGCATCCTGGATATCAAATGCTCAAGGGTACAGCATTTACACTAAAAGTTGGGATTGCTGTCAAAAAAAAACAATGGGGGAAAAAATCTATCCCAATTTATGCTGTATCTTTTTAAGTATCAGAACTGCGCACACAACAAAGATCTTCATGAAGGTAAAGTGAACATGCTTCCTATGGATGCAATGATTCCTAGCAAAAATAAGATTAACTTTATCACTACGTAACTACTACAGATAAAACAACCAGCACTGCTGTATAAAACAATACGCTGCATTTAACTGAAGATTTATTTTAAATGGCATGTAATATAGAATGAGATGTGCCAGCACAGGAGCCCCAGTTCATTGACTTCTCATGGGTTATGAGACTTGCAAAGTACCTGTGAATGTTTGACCAGCAAACACTAAACCTGCTGTTTTGATGATCTGGTGGCTTCATTTTCTGCAGCGTGGGTCTCTGCCACCATCTCGAGCCCTACTCCAGTCCCCAGAAATCCTCGATATCCAGTCGGCAGAAACATCCTCTCCCCCACAGTACAACTTAGCCTAGTGCAATGCCCCAGCAGTCTAACACAGCAGCGCTGATGCATCTCAGCATGTTTCAAAAATACCAAATATTCTCTTCTTTAGCACACAAATCAAACATGCACAAGCACACCGTATCACAGCCCAAACTCTCCCCAAACGATGCGTCTTTTAAAAGTTTCTTATATCAAAGGGCCCAGCATCTGGACTGTCACTCAGTTCTGAGTCTGTATATCACCACATCCATCGGAGAAGATGCTTCACATCCCAAAAAAGCCATCCAGAGCCACGCCGAGATCCCTACAGCTGCTGTACATTAAGCCACCACAGTTCTGTGCAGCACACCTCTCTTGTAAATTGAAAGTTAGAATGGTTTATCATTGCTGAATGCCCCTAGAGAAACAAAAACACAAAACAAAAAGATACAACGCTGAACAGGTGCGATGAGATGCAAACAGCTGAGTCAGAACCTGTTGTCTTTTTTTTTTTTTTTGGTCTTTTTTTTCCTTTTCTTTTTTTCTTTTCTTTTCTAATTCCCTGAAAGAGATTGGCAAGGAGGGTATGTTCAGAGCTGATGCCATCAGAGGAGCCTTCCTGTCTCTGGAGATCAGCGGAGCGCTCTCCCAAAGAAACTTGCACCTTCCTTGGGAATTTACTGCTTCACAGCAAAAATTCGGAAAGCATTTCCATCTGAAGGATTAATCAACCTGGAGAAAAAAAAAAAATAAAAAGAAAATGCAATCAACCAGATGTAGGCACTGCAGGACTCATGGTGCAAAAGAACTACAGGAAGCTCCAAATTTCTTTGGGATGCACCAATTCAGCATGCTGGGTCTGTGCTGATGTAGCCCCACCAGGAGCAGCTGCAGGACAGGAGAAAGACAAAGGATGAAAGAGAAGAGGCAGAAATTCATGAGTTCACTTTTTTTTTCATGCTTATGATCCAAATCTACGTCCTAATGTCAACAGACGGAACAGGGAAATAAGAAATAAAAGCCCCTTTTACAACTCTAGCATTTGTCTGGGGAACACTGTGCTCCCTTTTACAGAGATTTGTGCATAAAGAGAACATGTTTCCCTAAAACCAGTTGTCAAATAGGCTGGCAGGCTCCCAGGGCCCATCTGGCCCATCTCCAGGTGCTGGCAATGGGAGCAGACAGATCAGCACACGTTAAGTGACAATCTATAGGTATATCCATTTTCCACCTGCAGAGGTGCTCCCAACAGCTCTGACTGAGCACAGGGCAAGAGCCCTGTTCCCAGTCCTGTTTGTACATGTATCTTTATCAAAGGTTGTTTCCAGTGTCCTAAAGGATAAGGTTTTCACCTTGATTTTTGAAAAGCTACTCCACCATCTCACAGCACAGAGATGCTCCTTCTTGCTGAGTGTAAATAACACTTTCCAAACCTTCATACTCATCCCTGCTGCTATAACGTCTTTGGTTTCCCTCACCTCCTAGATCAGCACCTGGTGCTCATATTACATGTCACTGCCAGTGGGAGAGTTTATTCTTAGCTTGGCTAGAGTTTGTCATGCAAGCAAAACGTTCTCTGTCAGTATAAAAGATAAATTAAAGGAAGACAGAGGTAGAAGAAAACTGGTATGAGCAGGAGATTCTGTGATATTAATCCAAAATCAAAGTAAATCTGCCAAATTACAGATCACACAGGTACAAAAAGCTGATTCTGGTAAATCTGTACCAAAGAATCTCATATTTAATGTCTTAGCTTTCCTGTTTTTGTTTGTTTGTTTGTTTTAATTATTATTTTCCTCTGAAGCAGTGTTTTGGAATAGTCATTGTTAGAATATAAATATCAAACTCAGTTGGATTTCTTATTATAACAAAGGAACCTCACAGAGCAGACAGACATGTCAGTAATAACCAAAACCCACCACAATAGTGATTAATGCTATTTTTTCAAATATAAGTTTGAGAACTCAGTACCGTCACACCGATGTGTGAGAAAATACATCACAAACTGAACCAGAAGTAGCAAATTAGAAAGGACTAAATGAGCTGCAACTCGATCACTGTGATCGTGTGCAGGTGGAAGGTTTTGGAAACACTGATTTGCAATTGTTCACAGAAACCAGCAAGGTTAGACCAAAAGAAGCCATGCAGAAGTACAAGGGTGGAAAACCCATCTTAAAAGACCGTTTGATCTTCTCTCTAAAGGTTAATTTGCTCATGTCTTTCAATAAGAATAGAGAAATTTAATTAATGAATACAAACACATCCTACACACCAAAATTCAATGGAAATCTCATTAAACCTTAAACCAGACTGAAAGCTGAAGAAATACCCATATTTATCTTTCAGACAAGCAAGTTTGGGAACTTTCTTCTTCATTAAAATTTAATTCCAAAAGATTATCCAATAATCATTGCTGTACTAATTACAACAGTGGATTTTTAATGATATACGTATACAGCAAAATGTTTTAATATGGATTCGTCTCTTTAAAAAAATATCTTAATGGTATTTCATACCTTTCGCACTGGTCTGAAAGCAGCTACTGACTTGTGGAAGGTAAGAGCAGGACAACACGCTCTATTTGTTTGCATCTTCAAATTCACAGTGACACTGTTAAGTCATATTTCCAACTCACCAACCTTTCTAGCTGATATCTGCTGACTTTGACACACAACTGAACTTAAAATCAAGAATAAGAGGAAAGTACAAAGCAAAATATCCCACCTCTCAGACTGGACTCCATTCTTTAAGGAGCCAACATAAATTTTCTTCTTTTCTACAGGCATCACATCTACAAAGCCACCTTCTTCATCTGAAATGACTCCTGCGTGCACGGCGCTTTTGCAGATACTGGAGCTCTGAAAAATATTGAGTTATTTTGACTTACAACACATCTCTATTTTACATCTGGAGATTTACCTTCTCCACCAGAATCAAGAAAAAAAATCAACAGAGAATAAAAGCAAGTGGAGTCAAAGAGCTATGAAACAATTCTGTCATTCTTATGGGCAGACTGGGGATGATCATGGACCAAATCTGGGGATGTGATAAACCCAGGTATCAAATGCAGAGGTGAAATAGCTGTAAGACCCAGTGCTGCCACGACAGACAAGCAGCTGGTCCACTAAACAGAGAAACCGTGGTGGTGCAAACTCTTTGCTAGTGACCAGCCACCATGCCAAAGCTTATTCTCCCAGCTGCTTGCAAAGCAGAATGCTTGTCCTGAATTAAGCTAAATGGCCACCAGCTATCTGGGAGAGTTCACATGCTCCTGTCTAGAAAAAAAAAAAAAAAAAAAAAAAAAAAAAAAAAAAGGAGGACTGCACCCCCAGAGGGGCGTAGCTTTGGGGCAGTTGGATATCCCATTACCCTGTAAGACTACACTGAGTACGGAGAGAGATTAACGCTTCTGAAAAAAAAAAACTAAAGCTTCTCCATTGCGCATCACTGTTACCCTGTTCTCCTTGATGTGCAGAGTCAGAAGAGCCAGAGGAACACAAAACACTGACAAATGATGACTAAGCTCGCAAAGCATCCAGGAAACAGAGCAAAAGCAGAGGAGGCTTAAGTGTAGTATAAACTTGGCCATCAGCCCTCTAAAGGATTTACATACAGCAAGCTGGAACAACAACAAACAAATCAGTTTTGCGCAGGGAACTGCAGCAGGTGAAAATCCCAGCCCCATAAACTCCCTGATGGCTAAAACCCAAACTACTACAAAACCAGTGCCAAGGGCAAACATTCCCATCATGTACGTACAATACAGATCGTGCTGTTTCCTTCTCACAGCCATATATGGCAGGTTTGCCTTGTCCCCTATATATTTATCACTTTGGATCGACTATCTCTTGGCAGCTCCCTGGGTTTTTGAGAGTCAATTTGGTATTTTGCTTCTATATAAGGGCAAGGGAACGCTCTGTTTGGAAGATACGCTGTGAATTTGCCCTACTATGCAGTGGGAAATCTGTAAATCTAAAATTGGCTCATAAAATTAAACTGTCCTGAATCAATTTGCAACACTCTCCACTGGGAGACATCCTAAACGATGTTCTTCTCAAGGCATTCCTGCTTTTTCCAGGACTTGCTGTTCTGCTGCTTACTGAAAGCTTTGACCAGAAGGCTTTTTATTGCCTTACCCAAATCCTCCCCCTATCACTCCGTTGGATCACTGCCTTCTTCTATCACAGTCCAAGCTTTGCTTTGATGAATTGCTCACAGAGCTTTTGGAGGATGAGACATTTCAAGAATCAAGGCCATTCCTCTTGAACTCTGAAGTAGAGCAGCTGCCCAGACCACGCAATGGCTTTCCATGGCGTAGCCCCTTCACGTCTGCCTCAGCACCACACAGGTCTCTTGGGATGCTCTGAGAGCATTTTCTGATGAAGTGGACTCTGAGGCATACCCCAATAAGATGACAGCACTTTTTTATAGTTGGCCATTAGCAATGATCCGTGACTATGAATTTAATCACCCATAATTTCTTCATTAGCGTGACTGGTTTAATCATTGAGTTCCTATCTCATGAGGGCTGAGCTACCCAGCTTGGATTACTCTGATGATAAAGGTCTCCTTCATTAAGTGATCTGTCTTCCTCCAACTAATTGCAGCACAGTTGTGGATAAAGGACCTTATCTCAAGAGTAGAGAGCCATTTCCTCTCCCAGCTCCGTCGGGCTCCTAAGCAGGGATGAGGAAGTGTTTCCCTTGCAGTGTTGCACACTAAGAGCCAGGCAAGTGACAACGTCTTGCAAAACATAAAAGCTTTTGTGCAGCCTCAATAAAGATCCCTAGGTGTTCACACAGTTCCAGCATTCCCCAAATCTGTCTCTGTTCACATCAACAAGAGCTGAGCTACCTCCTCAGCACAGTCAAGTGTTCAGAGACATTTTTTTCTCTCATTTTTCCAATTCAGAAACCTTAGCATGAGGTTGACCATGCGAGGTCAAAAGTAATTGACCCCAGAGAAGTAACTCTGAGTGTCCCCCTACTGATGGTACCTCTGTGCATTCCAGGGACACTCCCACCATCTTCAGTGACATTACTGATGATTATAATCCAGAGATTCCTACAGACCCATAAAGCCACAACATGGGAACATGAGCAAGATTTTCTGTTCCCTAGCAGCTTGCTTGTCGCCGCTAATTTCAGCCCTGGGAGGATGCCATTCAGTGGACAGACCTGGGATTTGGGCATGAACTTTTCCTGTGGCATATTTGAGTGCATTTTTTTCATTTACCCCAGATTTCAAGGCTCCTCTATATCCCTGTTCCACAAACCCTTTGTGTTTCTGACTGCTGTGCCTTGTCATTCTGCCCCTGCTCCCCAGTACCCCAGCTTCTTGGACATCTCAGTCCACCTAGACCTCACCTCTTCTAAACACACTTCCCTAGACCAGCCAAGCATTTTTGTCACCACTTCTTGGACTATGGACTCCTAAACTGTCAGAGCATTTAGCAAATCAGTGCTTCAGCAAGTTTGCTAAGAAGCCATTTTCTTTTAGATCACTTATTTAAGAAGACACGGTTGGGACACAATTCCCCCAGGGCCATGAAGGTCCTACACTCCAGATGTGTAGCCGTGCAAACCTCCCAGAAGACTCGCACTTGTCTCATCCAGCTCATTTTCTGCTTTAATTATTTCTCAGCCACAGGCTTGGGTTAATTCACAGCATCCCCTCCCAGAGGGCATCCCGCACAGTCCGTGCCCAGCAGAAAAGGACATTGCTCAAATTCTCCCTGCATATCATGCCTGTTTATATGGTCAACTTTCCAGCCTGAGCATTTATCACCATCAATACCTCCCCTTTGCAACATGTTTCACATCCTCCTCAAACTCCTTTTTTCCCCTGCTGGATTCTTTTAATCTTTTTTTGCTACCAACTACTCATTCTGCTAAAATCCAAAGTGTTTTTCCTATTAGACCTGCAGCACACTATTAGCACAGCAGCCCAGAAAAAGGTTAACCAAGCCTTCTAAGAGGTGGCCAAAAACATTTTCCTTTTTTTTTTTTTTTTCTCTCCCAAATCATGGTCCATACCCCAGTTTATGAAACACAATAACCAGAGGGGACGGTAGGAAATGGAGCTTGTCCTTCATTAAAGGACACTAATCCTTTTGCGTCAGTACAAATAGGGAAGCAATGCCAGCCCAAGATGCTGGTCCTCACCTAAAACCTTGTAATTGTAGACCCCATTCAGGAGTAATCCAAGCTAGTTTTGTCTTCAGTAAAAGAAAACTATTTCCCATTTCCTGCAGGTCAGAGCACGCACAGAGGCAGATACCACAGGGCAACAGCTGTGCGATGGATTTGCATATGAGCTTGTCTAGGCTAACTTGCTTATGTCTCTATTTAAAAATAGATAAATATTAAATAATGATCCCAAGTAAAATAAAAAAATAATTACTTAAAAATCATTTCTCTCAATGGCTTTCCCTAAACTGTTGTATGATTTTCCCAGGGTGTTTTTCTCAGGAGTCTGCAATGCTCCATGTGGACCCTGAGCTGGGGATGCAGGCACTCACTGGGACCCACGATCAGCCCCAAAGCATGTTCCTACAGGCTAGACACCAGCCTGGGAGAGCTGGCATTTCCGAAGATAATCTCTGACAGGAAAAAAAGAGGCACCCACAAATGGAAAAATGTTGAAACACAGTTTTCAGAGGCCTAATATTAAGAGATTTCAAGAAAATGACTCTCTGCCTAGTTTTAGCATCAAGTCTCTGCTCATCCCCACGAGCAGAGTTTAGAAAAACAAACCGATAAAACCAACTCGCATGTTTTCTTTCCACTGCTCCGTGCTGTGTCCCAATTGCTCAAAAACACTGTTCAGCTCCCAGAAAGAGGAGAGGGGAGGGAGAAGACAGACTCCTTGTGCCAAAAACATAGTGTGGTTGTATATGCAGCGTATATAATATAAGCCCTTTGGTGTTCATCTGTAGGTCTACAAACCAAGGCAGTGCTTTACCAACGCAAGCAAGCATTACTGCTGTCTCGTGTCCATCACCCCAAAGTCCAGAAGAACTCAGCACCAGAAACTGGAGGGGCTCCCCAAGCCCATCGACCCCAGCCCATTGTCCACCACTGCTGCACTTTGTTGGTGCCACTTATTCCTTCATCCCCATCTACCTCAACCCCACGCTGCAGCGGTCATGGGGAGTTTTAATCCCTTCCTAAATCACAGAGTAAACCCCGCTCTGCAATACATTGTGTTACACGGGGTCATCAGGGAAAGGAGCATACTCACATCTGCATAGATGTTTGTGCCAAACACCGGTGCCCAGTACGATGGCTCATCTTTACAGTGGGCTGGACAATAAATCCTAGAAAACAATTTATTCAGATTTATTCTCTATACCAAGGCTCAACAGGAAAGCAAGCTGCATTCTTCGGAGATTTCAAGTGCCTGCATCTGGTCTGCAGGTGGCAACAGTGAATCTAATTATTTGTTCCCCTCAGATGACTTTTTGTAGTTACTACAGAACTGGAAACACAAGGGTTTAGACCAGTAAAAGAGGGATTAGTCTTTTATGAGTTTTTCAGAGGGGAGTGCTTATATTTTTGCAGAACGCTGTGCACATTATGATTTGCATGAATTTGTGCCCCTGTCCTCTACTGTGACTGACACCTGCACAAGGCAGCTTTCATCACTCCAGGCGTGGGCTCACTGAAACACGATCGCGTAGCCTGACTTCTGTATTACTGTAGCAGCCCAAAAGCTCATCATGTTTTCCACCACACTGCCCATGTGCCTGCTCGTGCTGAAAACACACTTTGGAGCAAAACACAGTGGCAGGAGGAAGTACACCGTTCCCAAAAGCTCTCAGATTTGGGGCTCTCACCATCCCTCCTCCTCTGTTCACCTGTCCCTGCCCCAAGCAGTGCAGATTTAAGCTGAGCACAAATTTGCTCGAGGCACGCAGTTACCTTGGGCAATGGGTCGCAGGTTTCTTGAACTTGCACAGCTCAGCTACTGTGGTGTAGCAATCCAGTGTCTGTGCTGCGGAAATAAACACAGAGAAGGAAATAAACACAGAGAAGGAAATTACTAGACCCAATAACCTAGCAGCTGTAGAAAACACTAGTCACAGGCATGCAGCAACCCTGGGGAGACCCACACCCAGGTGAGGGCACCAGGATTAAAGTCACTCACTCCTTTACCAGGAGCATGCACCCAGGGCTGAGCAGCTCTCCCACAGAAGTCCTGCTGCCTTACTACAAGGTGGTTTTCAAAAGGTCAAAGCTTTCAGAAGAGAAAAGCAGCTGACCCACAAAACAGGGTATTTTTGTTACAGCCATGTAGCTATGTAGTTTCCAGACCCGTGGTACGGAGCCATTGGACATGATCACATAAAATTAAAAAGAGCACTGCATGGAGTGGTATTTTCAACCATCTCATAAAACTGTAGTAAATATGGTTTCTTCTCAACTTCACAAACTTAAAACTTACTTGTGACTTTGGAAACCATGAATGCATTTGAAGGTTTACTTTTCCTGCAAAACAAGAAAAAATATGTATTAAAAAAATAAGCATACTAAAATTACTTGAATCACTATGTCTGTGTATGAGTAAAAAAAAATGACTGAACATCTGCATATATTTAAAGCAAATATGAACACTTTTTTCACAGAGGTAGTACCTGAAAGACTCCACACCATTCCTGGTAGACTTCACAAAAGCCGGTGTCCTCCCCTTCCTCGTGATATCTACCAGCCCTCCTTTATTGTCCAGGATGCCGTAATGAATTGCAGCGCGACATATGCTTGATGACTGGGAAGAGCACAACAAACAGTATGTGAAATAACTCTCATTCACAGAACAGCACTGAGCAACTGCTGTGCAAAAAAGCAATGAAGAAATGAACCACCACCAAAGTGCCAAATGGAAAATAAACTGAATACACCCCTTTGGAATCTAACTCTTCCTCTCCCAACATAACCTTACTCTTTTGCTATTATTACTATTATTTTAAGCACTGCTTGGTTGAATGACATTTATTTTATTTTTTTTTTTAAGTATCAAAACCATACACTTAGATACAGCTTAGGGAAAAAAAAAAAAAAAAAAAAAAAAGATAAAAATAAAAAGCAGCTTTGGAAGTTAACAACCAGTATGAAATATTTCCAGTTCTCAACAGAATATTCAAACCCAAAATATTTCTGCTGAAACCACTTGGAGGAGGAGGCTGTCTGCAATCAGAGAGGTTGCAGGGCAAAGATGTATTGTGGACGATGTAGTCACACATAAGGAGCGAATGGGGAAGCAAGCATGCTTTACAGAAATACCCTTTCATCTTCAACCTTCCTTCACTCCAACAGGAGTTTTGATGGGGAAACAGTGCCATGCCTTATTTGTAAACTATTGTGCTAGTTCAAGATCCAACAAATCTTCCCAAAATATTTAGTTACAACATTTTTACAGTGTTTGTAGTATGAAGTTTCTGTTCTGCATGACAGTTGCCCACACTAAAGAGGAACACTTTGTAAGAGCTGTCTATTGATCCTTATCCCTCACTTTCCATGGGTTTTATTGCGCATTAAGGGCATTTATGACAAAATCAAGCCTGGAGTCCTTTTGCCTTTCCAAACTGCTTCTTTTTTCATCACTAAGATGAGGAAAATACAGATAATCTTTATTAGCACCCGTTTACAGCACCACAACTGGAGAATATGGAAAGCCAAATTACACTAGAATTGTTGGCATTTCCCATTTCTGTTATTACCACTAACTCCCCACAAATTGCATCTATGAGCTATTAAAAGGTACTTACACTCTCATAATAAAATGTTCCAAAGATCTTTCCCTTACTGTACAAGCAGCCAGCTGGGCACAAATACCTAGTAAAGATATATATCTTTGAGAGTGGCGAAAAAACAATTCAAGAAAAACAGACTTTGACTCTATTTCATTTAATAGTCATTCCATTCATTTCACGTAACTCTTCCAATTTAAAAACAAGATTGCAAAATAGCTACTTTTTAAGACAGTTTCTCCACCCTCCTTAAAAACCCAACCAATATTTAGATTCTGTGGATTTGTTTTTTCTCCAAGTGATAAACTGTCCCGTTCTTTGCAGAAGCCTTAACCAGAAGTTCTTGACTGCCTGGGAGGGGACAAGCTATGAATTATTGGTCTGGCTTGGACAGTGGTGGAATGCACACGAAAGGCTCAAAAGTGACTCTGCCAAGATTTATTAAATGATTCTAGACACCTGGAACTGTGGGTCATGATAGCTGCATAAGAAAACTGAGTCACCTTATTGCTAGGCTTTGCTGAAGGCTTCGAACTGAGAGAAATGAAGGCTTTTTGCAAAGAGACCGGCCTAGACAGTTGCAAAAATATATGTAGTATAGACTACACCTTGTTTGCAAGAACCTGCCAGTTTTGAGACCACTTTTCCCTGCACTGATCCAAGAGGTATCAATAAAACATTACCTGTTGCATGTTGAGCCTCTGCATTTGTCTCTCATCTTGGTCTCACAGGTAATGACTTGTGCTGGAAGAAAAAAGAAAAAAAAAAAATGAAAATAAAGCTATGCCGTAAGACAAAAGAGACAGCCACTGCCTGCTCTTGGGCTGCAGCAAGGGGCAGCCACTGTACATCTTTCCTGGAGGTCTTTAGTGCAGTAAGATAAAATCTTATTGCAGACTGAGCAGCCTGGAGCTGTTGCCTCTTGAACTGTTCGCCCAAGACAGGTGTCTTTGGGAATATTAACAGGGAAGAAACATTTGACAGCCAAAGGCTTTGATTTACAGCCCGAGGTCTGCAGCCAGAGCTCTAATTCTCCATTTAATTACAGACTTGCAAGATGTTAGTAGATAAACTTGAAAAGGATGCATTTGCTTGCCTCACCTTGTTTTCAGAATAACTCTCTTTTAATTAACAGCGATTAGAAAACAACCGAGGAAGTACTACCAACTCCACAAACAACTTCAGAAAGCTTCCCAAGCAAGACATAAAAAGGAAACCAATCAAAATCCCCAGAAAAAATGCAAAGAGGGTAACTGCTGAATTTAGGGACTTTTGAATGGGAAACCAAACCAATATTTCCTAAATTGTTTACTGACCTGGGGGCCTTCAGTTCATTGGTACTTTCTTAAGAAGTCTTAACGGGCAGACTTTAAAGAACAGACAGGTATTGCAGATTGACATGCAGAAGGCATAAGGGGCTTTTGAAAGCTTTGCTCCCTGTTTTTGGTAGGAAAAAAAAAAAAAAAAAAAAAAAAAAAAAGAAAGAGGCTGCCTTACTCATATAGGTCTCTGGGGAGGTTTTCTTGGGCTTGACAGGTTTGCTGGGCTTCTTCTCCGGAGGGTGGAACCACACGGGTTTCTGCTCTGAAATTTGTGGAGTCTCCACCTCGTTAGTCTCGTCTGTCTCAGTGATGAAGGTGTCCTCGTAACGGTAATCTTGTTAGAAAGGAAGATTAAAAATAATTGCAGAGTGTTCACAACAACAAGGAAGTCAGGTTCCTTTTTGGAAGGAGAAGATTTGGTTTGACAAGGATCTGCTTTTAAATAGTGAGAAACCTAAAAACAGAAGTTAAATGCAGCACAGGACCATTGCCAGGGCAGGTACAGCACCAGCAGAGGAGATGTGCTTCCCCAGTGAGCTCCGCATGAAGCGGAATTTATAGCATCTCGCAATAAAGGTTTGCAATGATCTAGACTAATTAATGAACAAGAGTGCTGAACACCTTGCAAAAAGAGGGCATTTGGGAAGGTGGCTAACACTTTTCTGCTCTTCAAACCGCCCCCCATCAGCATGGTTTCAGCTGGTCCTCTGGTAAAGCTCCCACAGTGCCCCCCTGCTCCTGCAGAACAAGCTAGTGGTGCAGCCAGGCAGAGGGATTTGGGACACGATGCCAGCAAAATTAATTCTGCTCAGCTTGCCCTCCACAAAACCTGACCCTGCTTTCATCCTCAGCAATAGGGAGGGGGGGGCGATGGATGGTGGCTCTGCAGGGGCTTTGAGGAAAAACAGCAGGGAGAAAGGGAGCTCTCCAGCTCCCACCTGCTCCCCAAGGGCTCCTCCCAACCCCAGGCAAAAAGTGATAAATGCAGCAACAGAAGCTTCTGCTCTGGGCAAGCCTCCAGGGAGCTTGCCTGTTTCTGAAATCCCAGTTCTTCATGAAGGAAAACACATGGGAAGGGATTAAAAAAAAAGAAAGAAAAAAAAGGCTCTTGATGCATGACCCGAGAAAATCCTGCATGCTAAGGGAGCAGCGCTGCTTCATTGGACATTTCACAGCAATAAAAATATTTTTCACTTTCTGTCCATCAAACTATTCCAAGAGAGCTCCTCCTCTCCTCCAAGAGACACGAATCGCTGTGTTCATTTGGCAGCCATGAAAACCAAGGTGGGGAGGAAAAAAAAAAATGGAGAGGGAAGCACTGCGTCCCTGGCCCCTGAAGGAGCTGGGTGGGCAGCCAAGCTCTGCCCACCCACATCGCCTCCGGTAAGCACTGGAGAACATTCCCTTCCCAAACAAACCCTGCGAGGACAGGGCCAGCCACCGAAATCCCGCCCCAGGTCCCCAGCCAAACCCACGCAAACGCCGAGCCACTTCCCTCCATCCCAGCTCTCGCTCACATTTTCACGCTGAATCCGAGCTGGGAACTCTAAACAGCTCAGAGCCTTTTTGTGTCAGCCACAGCCGGTGATTTACCATTACGCTGAGATGTCTAAATAGTAAGGGTGGGTAATTGAAAGCTGTGACTGCTTCCAATTAAAAGTTTCCAGGTGAAAGCTGGCTCCAGCTTCTCCCCCAGGCAGGAGGGTGCTGGGAGCAAAGCATCCCGTCCCCAAACCCCACACACCTTTGTAGCAGAGGTTGTTCTGGCAGCCTCCTCCGTAGCTGGGGGGGCACTCGGAGCAGGGGCGGCCGGTCTTGTACGGGGCCTCACCGATCCAGTTGCCTCTGCAAGGATGGGAGAAACGTATGCCCGTCAGACAACCAAATACCCATCCAAGCCCTGGCCCCAAATCTTTCAGCCACCAGCACTATGGGTGTGGGAAAAACAAGTGTTTCTGCTCTACTTGCAAAGGAAAATGTGGAAAAGACAGTCTGTCTCATCTCTTTCCATCCCACACTTGACTTCAGCTTTCTTGTGCATCAAAGCCACCGTTCTCCCAGCATTTTCTGCAACCCCCCCATGCAGCTGCACAGGCTAGGCAGGAGCACGGCTCTTGCCATTTAAAAGCTGCTCTGTTTTCCATCTGGAACCATTTCCAAACAGCAAACTGCAGAAATCCATGCCTCCCCCTGCCCAATTCCAGATCATCTGGGAATCGGAGCAGCACTTTGTGCTTCCCCCTCACCCAGCCCTGCCAGCAATTTTGCCTCTGAAACTGCAGAAACTTCACCCCAGTCCAGAGCAACTAAGCAAAGACTAACCAGCTAGACCAGGAAAGCCTCATGAGAAAAATGTTCCTTCTCATTTCACCTCCAAGATGATGATTTTAAGGGTTTACTTAATGAATTGTGTGCAGTATCATCTTTATATTAAACTCTACTTCAAATACTGTGATTTAGTACACAGGAGTAAATCAATGGGTTACCACAGTTTCTTGAGAAACTACCCAGAAGCAAAAAACCCATCTTGCCCCTATTATTTCCGCATATTTCCAGTGCCTCTATTGCAACTGTTAGGGGCTGAGAAGGGTCAAGGAGCTGGAGTTCAGTCCATGACTCTGAACTCTTTGGTTATTGCTCTTTCAGCTGTCTCCACCTATGAGGCTAGATGAGGACAATGCACACAAATGCCAGAGAAAAGAGATTAAGCAGAAACGGCTGAAATAGAGTATTTTTCCATCCAGCAGTGCTGAAAGGATGATGCACAGAGGAGCCCAGCCCGCGAGGGGCACTCCATGGGGATGGCACAATCCTGTGCATGGAGCAGGTTATTAAATCCCACCAAACTTCACATGCTCAGTAACTTATGTAGGGACAGGGGCTTACACAACACACCCACAGGATGCTGCTGCCCAGATCGTGCTACAAACTCCTTGCAAAGCTCTGGGTTTGGCTGCCAGCTTTGTACCCACACACCTTTTTTCTTAATGCTATTCTGCCCTATAAACAGATGTTCTCCAAGCCATTCTATTTGCATGTAGAGATTACCCTATTTCACTCATTTGCTGTTTTAATCGTAAGCAAGCCTACTTCTCCTGTGCCAGCAGTAGGGCTGGGGTACAGAGGCTACTGCTGGAAAGGAGGCCAGCAGCGTTAATCACCAGCCCTGTCCTCTCCCAGCTGCAAAGAGAGCAAGCCTCGCTTGGCAGTGCTCTCCAGCTCCGTCCTTGCCATCTCCTGCTCCTCCTTCCCATGGCAGCAACATCAAAGCTCCTGCCTGGCCCCAGCCCCTCATTCAGTTTTCCAGGCAATGCTCAGAAGTCTTGAACCAGCCCTGTGCTGCAGTCTAAAGAGAAAATTTAAAGCCACAACCACCAGTCTAGACTGCCTGAAATCTCTTCCCCAGATCCTGGGCTAGTTAAGCAACCTGCCAGTGCAGGGTTTTAGGAGAGCTGGAGGGAACCCAGCCCATCCGTCTTACTTGGGCGAGTAGTTGCAGACCAGGTAGACAGCATTCTCCCAGATCTCTCCCCAGACATTCATCCTCTTGCAGACGTTCACAGCACAGCCGATCCTGTTTGTTGTGGCCCAGACTATCTGCAAGGCAAGGCACACATTGAAAAGAAGCAAGCTGTGGGCACAATGCAGTGACAATGGGACATGGAGGGGCTGCAGAGAGGATAAATACAAATCCATCTCTTACCTGGGTGTAATGCGTGCACATGGAGCCAGTGCATTTATCCGGGCACCATGGGTTGCACTCGTGAGGATATGGGTACGTGTAGTCCTTAACTTCATCATACCAAGACTGGACATGGAAAGCTGGAGAGCGATACCTGAAGGAGCAAAGGCCAGGCAGAGCTTAAATCACCAACCTCTATTACAAGTTTTCAAACAGCACCTGTAGCGTCCCAGCATATTGCATTGCAAAGTCAATTTTTTTTTTTTTTTTAAACGTGACTGCTAATTTTATATAAAAATTTATTAAGGCAAGTTCCACTCATTGAGAAGGCATTGCTTAAGAAAACAAAACCACCAATATCATGATTTGAAAATCAGGGAAAAAAATCTCACTGAAAATGTTAAAGGTAATTTCTTCCCCAAAATTCACACCCCAGTCTGACTTTCTGTATTATTTATAGGTTTAACATGTTCTTCAAATGTTGCTGACCTGAAATGTCCTCCTGGCTTTTCCACCCAACTACAAAAAACGTCTAGTTTGGCAGAAGGTTGTATTTTGAAAGTAAACAGAAGTTAAGGTTTGCCAACCAACTTAAACCAAAAGCCATCATGTACCTATTTTACCACCAGGCAATTTGCTAAATCTGGAAGTCCATTAGGAGATCCTACTGTAAGACCTTTGAAAGCGAGTGAGCTTTTCACACTCACATCACACCAAAGGTTAATGCAGAGCACTTGGATCTCTGCACGCCTACCCTGCTGTCATTGCAGCAACTCCCCAGACACACGCTGCATGTACTTTGTGCAAACTGTGCACGAGACCTTGCAGCACTGAGCTACTTGTGCCATTTGGGGGAACGTGAATGGTGTTAAAATTATCTGGAGGAATTCATTTGCATTTTGCACGTTGTGTACACAGTGAGCAAACAGCACTCTGCAAACTCTATATAAAAACAGAAGAGCGCTTCAAACCCACTACTTTTTATTGCTTTCAACAGCTCACATGAAGCAGGCAGTCAGAAATACAAATGACATCATTACCAACTGTAGTTTGTTCTTTCAGCCAACTCTTCATTAAAAATCATTCATTAGAAGTATTTTAAAAACATTAATCTCCTGATGTCATTAAGTGAATACTTTCCGAGTCCTATTTCAGAGAAGAGGAAATTGAGGCAATCAAGTTATGGCCCGTTCCTGAAAAAACTGAGATAAATCTGATTTCTTTTTCCTCTCAGTGATTGCAATGGGAACAAGATTGGATCTACCTCCATCAATAACCCATGGCCATCTTGAGCGCTTGTAGGGGAGCCAAGAACAGCCTGATCTTTTGACTGTTTCCAATGGATTAACCACTCAACTTTCCAATCATTATTTAATTTCTGCCAACAAAAACGGGCCCAATTTCTATATCAGGCCAATTTCACACAAGCAAATTTCCATTGCTTTCAACCAAGTTCTACCTGATTTACAAGCATAACAGCATTTTGTCCCATTAAGGTAGCTGAGCACATGCAAAATATTGGCTTTATAAAGCAGTCTTAGCCTACAACAGGCTTGATTACAGGGGCATGACAATAAACAAATTTCACCATCAGATGGAGAGGCAAATCCATTTGGAAGCATTAACTTCATCTCTCCTAGCTGGATTAACAACTCTCAGTTAAAAATCTTCCACAGGAAAATGAAAAAAAAATAAAATTGCAGAGTGGTTTCAGTAAAGAGAAATTAGGAGTTGAGTAAATATTTATGAGAAATACAGTAAGAGTAAACCTAAAGAATTACATCAGGAGCAAGGCAGACTTTTCACACTGGCTGGGAGGGCCCGTAAATTGCCCTTTGCAATTAGTGAGGAGCTTCCCAGTTCTTACCTGCCCCAGTGAACCGCCAGGTTCTGTCCAATTGACCGGATGAGGTCACTCGGCCCATGCTCCCACTCGCACTTCTGAGCCCAAGAGTGGGCTGATCTTTCCAGCTCTTCATCCCAGGTCTGCAGCAGATGGGGGGAAGAAAAAAGAACAGATCAGTTTCTCCTCAGTTTGTTAGATCAAGAGAGCCAATCAACAGCAATTAGTAGAAAAAGAGACTACATTACAGCTCACTCCTGGGGTTTGATCTGTCCTTCTGAGGTTGGCGCATTTTAATGATGTGCTGTGACCTAAGAGCAAGCTTCTCAAAACGTCCCTGCCATGGAAATGCAAGGCACTTTCTGTCCTTGATGCCATGCTTCTTAAGAGAAGGTCTGGATAGGTCAAGAGAAAACAGACCTGGCAAGACCTCAAGAACACACCTGGACTCTCCACCCTAAAATACAGTAAGACATTCTTGACAGGTGTTTTTCTAATCAGTCAACAAAAAGTAATAATCAAAAAATCTGAGATCCCAATGCTTATTCATGACACCTATATTTGAGGTCTTTAATACATAATATGCAGTAAGTGCCCCAACATACAATTTTCCATCCATTGTCCTTAATACCAGGACGTTCCCTGGCTTTCCCATCAGCTGGGACTCCAGCTGTGGATGTGCACCTGCCCTCCACTATGAGCACAGCTGAAGTTTTTTGAACCAGTCCCCCAAGCAAGGGATGGATTATGTAGCTGCTGTGCCAGTGTGGGTCTGAGGCTCTTACTCCTTCCTCCCCTTCTCCTTCCTGAATAACCGCTGTGTGCACCAATGGATTCAGTCAAACTCCCAGAGGTAGCCAAGCCCCAGAGATGTTAAGCTCTCATTAAAACAGGCATCAGGTTAGAAGTGACAAATTAACACTGCCACTGAGGGAAAGACATCAGACCTCACTGAATACCACTCAGTTACAAGCCAAATGAGAGCTCAAATACTATACAGCAGAAAATAGGAAAACAGCCTTCATTGGCTTCACTGCCCAGAAGTATATTTGTTTCAAAGGCCAGACTTGTTAGATCCAGTAGATAATGCCCTGAATTCATTGTGTGATAACTGGTCTGTTCAAAACAGTCCTAAGCAGAATTCACTGGGATGAAAATATTATTGCACATCTCTTCAAATAAAACCAAAGTGAGGCCTTGCAACATGTTTCCATCCCATTCACATTCCAGAGAGAGATGTCTTTGGACATCATAACCAGCTGAACTTCCTCAGTCCTAACTTCTCTGTAAGAAAAGTGATTTCTGATCTCAGACACACCAAAGGACCTGTCAGAGCCCACCTGGGAGGCATTTGGGCTCCCAGACATTTGAAACCCAAAAATTGTTCATTCTGAGCAACCATCTGAACAGAGTCTTGGGCAGTTACAGCTGGGATGGGGAGGGACTGCACGTCCCTGGTTAAAAGGACAGGAAAACAGCATGTCTCTCAGAACCTGGTGCGTCCACAGTATCTTTGTAAGGGAAAAGTGAACTGATTGAACCGAGCTTACAGCCCAGAGCTCTGAGAACAGCTTATCATTACACAGCACAGCCAGCAACATCCCAGGGGTGCTCTGAGCTCTCCAGCTTGGCTTTGAACTGAGCAGTGGCTGAGCAAGTTCACGTCACTCTGCAAACCCCCTTGAGGGCACAGCTCTGACAGAGGGAATTAAACCATTTTCCACCTCAGCCCTCCAACACCTCGAAGGTGCGTGGTATCTGACCCACCACGTACACATTTCCAGACCTCTGTTTGGAGCAGACTATTGCGGTTGTGCCTAGACACACAGCTTTTTGTGGTCTCCCACTTTCTGCAGCAGGCAGTGACCAGCCACAGCCCGCCTTCCCATCCAACACATAAGCCACAGAAACTCTCCCAAGACACTGCTCCTACTTCTGACTTTCTAGCAGAGCATTATTCCTTGCAGCCCGAAAGGCAGAGACGTTCCAAATCTCCTAATTTAATGCAGAGACGTTATGAGCAATAGGCCATTAAATGGAAATTGATGTGAACATGTGTGTTACATCTTCCTTTGATGCCTATGGATAAAATAAATGAACTCGGACAAAAGACACTCAACAGGCAATTGGGAATGAGCTACATCTTTGCATGGTTTTGTGCTTGATGAGTAGAGAAGCTCGTTTCTGCAGGCATCGGATTACAAAGCCGTCCCATTTAAATTAGAGCAGTTATTTGCCTATTTCTCCTCAGACATGAATGCGGTCGGGAGCCTGGAATAATTTCAGAGCAATAAACATATCAAAAAAAAAAAAAAGAAAAAAGAAAAAGAGAGATTTCAGACTTTCCCAGCTACACTTGCAAGAATTCTTTATGCCAATATTCAAAGCAGTACCTAGGAAGACTACTGAAGCCAGAGGGGCATTGTTTGCCTATGCTCAGTTTCTTAAATCCACTCTAACAATCTGGCAAAGCTGCTTCTCACTGTTTGGAGGACAACAAGCACATGGCATGAAAGTATTCCAAGCACTAGGCTAAGTTTGTATTCAGATTTCCCGCCTTCACATTGATGTTTTCTGTTATCAGACCACTGTAACGACAGGCAGCTACCTTGTTTTGAAAACACCCGTCTAGTCCATAGGACGAAATTCTCAAGCCTTTGGGTATATAGGAATCGAAGTAAGTTAGTACATGGACCCTCTTTCTTATTCCTGCAAATCTGGAGTGGCTTTTCAAAATACAGTACACTCTGGACATGAAAAATACAAGCATTGCACATGTATCTTACAATGCATATTGTAGGGTTCAGATTTAGTAAGGACATATCCCATAAGGAGTTATATAGTCAGCCTAACTAGCTTGTAGGTTTACAAACTACAAGTATGCTATCTTAATTCACCTCTCTCATCTTTCTCCCCAGCTAAGACTTCTCGCAGCGCTGGCAGTTTACTCTTACAAATGGCATGAGAGTCCAGGACTGACAACAGCTGGCAGAAGCTGGAAGTGCTTTGCTAATCCACACAGAAATACTATCCCATCCCAACAAGAAAAGTCACCGCCCTACAGTTCAAAGGAAGGATGGATACCTTTTACATGAAAACAAACTATTTTCCTTCCCACAATCCTTACTGAGAACAGTTTTGTTTTATCCATCTGTCTTTGAGCTTCCACAAGAGGAAGGATTTCTGCCTTTCGTCACTGCTGAAAGCCATCTGACTAAGCCATCTTAAAAGGTCAAGATGCCTGAGGAATTGTTATATTCTTTTTACTCTGGGCTCATTAATAAGGAGTTTGTTTTGGTCTTGGCTCTTACCCACTGCTATGACTGCTGTTATATGCTCTATATGCACAATGAAAGTGCCGCTCATAAAGCTGCTAGAGGGTTAAGGTGATTCTGTATTTGAGCAACTTCATCAGGAAGATAAACACTGCTCGTGCCTGGTCTATGTCAGAGTCTACAATTCATTTTCCATTAATTGTCAATATACGTGCGAGCTTTCAATTAATTACACAAACCCAGCAGCAGAACTGTTCCTTTCTTCACTTCTTCACTCCACTTTACCTTTATCCTCTATGCATACTCAGCAGTTCTTTTGATCTCCAGATAAGTCATGGTACTCACTGTGCTATTGCTTTCTTATTAATAGCCTTTACTGACTAAAGTTCATGCTGTAGTAGATAAATGTCTCTTTTTTCCTGGTATATATTAGCTGCCTCTGCCGCTCCAGATCACTTAAGTACATCAGATATGGAGCTGGGACGTTCACTAGGCAGGGTTTGGAGGCTGGTGGCCAAGAACACATGTTCTACCTCCTTATCCACAAATTAGTGCCACACGTCGCCTGTGACGCTCCCCACTGGCACCAAAGGAGAAGGGAAAAGTTTATGTACAGTACTGAAGACAGACCATCCTCTTAAGCAAGTCCAAATGAGAAATGTCCTATGCAGAACAAAGGATTAAAGTGAAATTCACGTTCAGAATACACACTGCATTTCCAAGTAATATTGGGTAAACATGAATACTTGAAAGACTGATTATAGCCTTTCCAAGTAGCACCATCTTATACTCAGCTTCTTTCTTCGCAGCATATAAGGCCCTTTCATTTGCCCTCAATCGCCCATAAAACCACTAGAAAAGCACACTGAGCAAAGACAAACATAAAAGCACAACCACGCTGCAAGCGTAAATAGCAGTCGGCCAGTGGACACTCCGCAACTGCAGCCCTCTCAGATCCTCAGAGCCAACCAAAACACATTTGGCTTTCTCATGCTTTGTGTTTACTCTCTGGAAATTAATCAAATCATCTCTTCCCTGGCAGCATCCTACAGGCTGCCTGCAGGAGAATGAGAGCCTGCTGAGAAAGAGAGATACAAAGCACCGGTTCTTAGAAAGGCGTGTGCTTTCTGACAGAAGCGGGATGCAACACCAGCAGCGTGACTGCTAGGAGGATGCAACCAAAGAACAATTGCCCTTCCTTACTGTCCTCTGCTCTCCCTTCCCTCTTCCTTTCCCCTGCAATCAGAAAAGGCAGAATTTTCCAATTGCAGTATTCATTTCAGCACAGCTGGCAAACAATTTTGCATTACATTCAGTGTACTATTCCTTCTACCCTTTTAAACGTGGTCTTAACAAATCATTAGTCGTCGAATCTGTCAGCAAGAGCACGCAGTTGAAGTCAGGCTACTTTCAGTCATAATTATATTTGCACACCGGGAAAAGGCACAAAAAAATTATTTGCCTACATCATTTTCTGGCCCCACAATATTTTGAAGGCTTGTCAAAAATAGCTCCAAGTAGGGTCTCTGGCATCAGGTGAAGAAAAACTATTCATCTGGATTGTTGATGGTAAAGGCATATTTCATACCAATACTTTTAAGTTCTCCCTCTGAAGTGGGGGAATACATTGACCAAACTTTTATTTCAGTTTCCTGAGCTGCAGAAAGCCAACAGCATTGACCCATCCACCTCTGAACTCCCCAGAGCCTTTCCAGCAATTTCCAGGGACTGAACTTCTCTGCAGATAGAGCCACATTCCTTGAGCCTGGCTTGTCTAAAGAGCTGAGCAGATTCCCAGCAGTGTTGCGAACATCACAGCCATAATCTCTGGTGATCAGCATATAATGAAAGGGCAGGTGCTATCTGCTGCGCTGGGTGGTAGCTGATGGCAACCATCAGAGGTTTCTCTGAGCAGACTGTGTCATCCCAAAACACTACCAGAAGGGTATGAAAGCTGGGACAGGGAAAACATGGGTTAAACGCTAGGGAAAATTTGATGCTTTTATGACATTAAGGTAATGGAAGAACCTGCTGAGGCAGGCTGTGGAATTGCCATCACTGGATATGTGTCCAGGGCTGGGCCAGACGCTCGTTTATGAATAATGGAACCAGTCCTGAAGCTATGCAGCGGATGGACTAGATGACCCGTTAGTGGCCCTTTCCAACCAAAACAGTCCAATAATCTGAAGCTTCGTTCATTCTGGTATTAAACTGCTCCAGGAAACCTCTTGAGAAAAACTTACTTTAGAGGAAATTTGCTGCACCTCTTGCACCATAAGGAATTTTTAAGTAAAAATTAAGCTAGGTATCAGAAGCTGTACTCACCATATGTTCCATATTGGAGGCTGATGGATACACTTGACCTCTTAATTTATTGTGGAGCATCAATATCTCCTGTCTGTCTGAAAATAAAATGGCTCTCTTGGATCTGGAGTGAGCTTCCCCATCCTGATATTTACTCAAGATTCTCTCTAGGTGACTCGAGTTGGTCAAGACGAAGCATTTGGCTGTGGTGGCCAGGAGCAGTACACATCCAAGAGGCAGGATCCAAGGAAGGGCAAGATTCATGGCTCCTCTACAGCTGGCAGAAGCGGTGATGAAGACAACAGTAGGGTTTCCTTTCTGGGATTCCTAAGGCTCAGCACAGATCTGGGTTTGGGGAAGAAACAGGCAGTGAGAGCAGTGCCAGAGAAGCTCTTGGCAAGTATGACCCCCGCCAAAGAAACCACACAACCCAGATTTTCGCTTGAAAATGAATGTTTCTTAGAGCCTAAGCTTTTATTGCTCCCTGCAAGGATGGGAAGACCTGAGTACCAACCTCGAATGATGGGGACTCAGCTTATTACCCCAGGGAGCTCCACTGGCATTGGTCTGGAAGTGAGAATTAGCTGGGCACAGTGACGAGTGCCTTCTGCACCGAGGGTGCCAGGGGTGCAGGTGTCACCCAGCAATGCCCAGCAGCTCCGAATAATCCCACCTATGCCTCTTAAAAATGGGAGAGGGAGCCATTTGCAGCCACTTTCCCCCAAAGGGTCGTTAAAGTGGAGAACGGATATGAGTAAAAGGGAAAGTAAAATTCCCAGCAAGCCAGATCGTCGAGGTCAGACATGAGCAGGAGCTATTTCGGAGGCTCCGCTCTGCCAATAGACATCCAGCTGAGCAGCAGCCAGACTCCGTGAAGGCAGCTGTTTATGTGAAATGTCATCGTAACGTCGAACAATCAAAATTCCTACTGGTGAATGACGCACTGGGGTGTTCTCACTGACGCTGCCCCAGCGCCTTACGGCGGGTGGGTGCGCAGCCAGGCAGATGAATTATGGCAGGCGAGGAGAGGAGCCGGAGCACCCGGCCTCCCCCAGCCAGAAGATTAGGCGTTCCCAGGCACGCTCGCTGGGCACCAGCTCCAAGGGCTGACCCACTCAGAGATGATCTCGTTTTGGTCATTTGCATGGCTGCACTTAATCCCTGTCCCCTCCCTGTGAGGCTCTTGCTCCGTGGTGCTCCCTCTCCACCTGCTATTTCCTAGCAATTCCTCCCTTCCTCTCCCCCCCTCCCTGACTTCTCGGTCCAGTGAGCCATGTGCGTCTCAGCTGGCTTTATTTGGATCGTGAGCTGTTCAGGGAAGGGAATATGGGCTGCTGCAGGGCTCTGAAGCATCTAGTCCTCTTTAGGCAGGATCCGAGAGCTACCAGAACGGAGTCAACCCATAAGAGGCAATAAATATCCATGCAGACAGTGCAAGCACAAAGTCTCCCTCCTTAAGGCTATAGTTTGGAGTAAAGCTTCCCCATCTCTGCCATTAACACCAGGTTAGGGCTTAGTTTTGACAATGCTGTTAGAAAGAGATGCTGAAAGTGTACCTACAAAGGAAACAAGCTGCAGATGAGCAGGAGCTTCAGCCCCACAACACGGGGCTGGACACAGTGAGACAGGATGAGTCGGAAGCTGGCCAAGGCAGGGATGAACCTTCCAGCTGGAAAAGTTTCTCAAATATAAAGTCCCAAAACCCCCGTTCCCCAGAACCAACAGCATCTGTGGAGGAGAGCAGCAAGCACAAAAGTGCTTTGCAGAGGCGGGGAGCCCCCAAAATTCCCACCAGGAAACCCAGAAAAAGTGTAGGGTGTCTGCACAATAAAAGCAAGTCCCTGTTTGGGGATTCTTACTGTAATAAGGCAGGATGAAAACCAGCTGCTATCTGTCACCCTCCAGGCAGAGCATTAAGCCTTTGCTTCGGTAGAACAATGCAGGGATATAATTTGTTAAGTTTAGGTAACAGCTTCTCATCATTCCTGGCTCTGCAAAGCAAGCCGAACACACGTGCCATGTCCCCAGCACCGGGCACACGTGAAAGACAGGGCTCTTGGTGGCCTGGGGACAAACCCTGCTGTAACCTCATCCTCTTCCCAGCCCTCTTTGCTGGCATTTGCCTCCCCCAGAGCAGGAGCCCAGCTTTCTAACCCGACTAAAGAGAGGTAGGGGAGGCAAAATGAGCTGTTGCTTTTGTAGACTGTCTGACCCAAATTCAGGCAACAATTCCTACTTTGAGGCACTTCCCTATGAGTTTAAAAATAGATGCGCTGCCACGGCCCTTCACAATGCAGCCATTTAGTGTGAGCAATTTTAACTGCAGCCTGCCCTGTAGGTAGAGCGGGCAGAAACAGACGGCCAACATAGGCTGCAGTTGTACCCCTTCATTTGGCCGGGTGCCCTCCGCTAAATAGGAGCCCGTATCCACCACCCATCTAAGGCAAACACTGAACTTACAGAAAGTGCAGCTTGAAAAATCAGCCGGGCCATCCGGAAAGCCCAAAGGATCTGCCCCACTCACAGCTCCGCGACCAAGCCAACGCGCCTGGAGCCCTGCAACAGATGGTGCATTATGCCCCAGGATGGTCCTCCCTGTATCTCCCTTGCAGGCGCAGGGGTGTTTTGCACCTCTCTAAAATTAAATAATTTTAGTGTTTCTTTCACTTTGGGTGTTCAAGCCCCTTTTGCCTGCTTTGGGTCCAGGTGGGGAGCGCTCAGCACCGAGCATCCAAAGGAAGGCTGATGTGCTGGGAGTGGGACAGGGAGCAAAGAGCTCCCCTCCCGGAGATTAATTGGAAGCAGCAGATAGATGCTCACATTTCAGAAAGCCCTCATTGATTTCAGATGTCCATCTGCTTGCCTCCCCTAATATCCTCATGTCCAGGTGCAACAAAACACTGGGCCATGTGTTAGAGCTCAGCCAGCTCAAGTGCCCTGCAGAGCTGGGGCACAGCCTCGGGGGCTGCACTCAAAACTCCTCATTAGGGAAGATTGAAAGCATATTTGAGTTGGGATTTGACATTATTCAAGGAGAATTATCAGCTGATGGTCAGCTGAGCAAGTCTCTGTTGTTGTTTTCAAAGGTTCGAGAGAAGAATTAGCGCAGCCTCCCTTTAAACGCATCAGGCCCCTGATGCTGGTGCCAGGTAAACATCTGGGAGCAATCAGAAACCAGTGAGTCGGCAGAAAGCGACTCCCGAATACGCTGCAAGGCACGGCGGAGCTTGGGACAAAGGGGAGGCCTTCCTCTAGGGGCTGAGGAAGTTAAAAAGCAGCTCCGGACTTTGGAAGAGATTATTTTCAGAAAGCTATTTCCCCAGCTCGGGGACAGTGCCTGCATGTCACAGAAAGCAGAAGGGCTGGCAGCGTTCGGAGGCTGGCATGCAGCGCTGCCTCTTGCATTTCCTTACGTCCTCACCTCCCCTTAGCACCGAGCGGCTGTTGGTCTTTAGCTGCCTCCCTGGGGAAGTGCACAAATGTGTCTCTACTCCTCATTATGGGTAAAGCCTGCAGCCAAAACACCCTGACACCTGTGGGATTATACCTGGGGCAAGCTGACACTGCAGGGAAATGCAAGAGTTAGCACGGGATGCCAGCAGAGCATCTGAAATAGCAAAGCAGCAGGGAGTTTGCCTAGGATCAGCTTTTAACCTGTGCAGAGCAGTCCAGTGACAAAGCCACAGTGTGCTCCATGCATTGCATGCCAGGTCATCCACTTAACGGAGATCCACACGTTTCATGCTTTAAAATATTGCCTTGGCTTCAAAAGAAAAGTGGGATGACAAGTTCCTTGACACAGGACATAACACAGTCTGCACAGAGCACACCACAAATCCCGCATCTTCAAGGCCATGGGCAAAAACATCTGGATCTGTCATTACAATCCTTCCCACAGAACTCAAGTGGGTGAGTTTCTATGCAAAACCACACAGAAAACCCACTGGTAACAGACACAACATGTGACAACATCGTGAAATTCCTTCTAGACAGGGCTTTGGAGCAGAGTTGCACAAACACAGGCTTCCTGGAGCAGACTAGATATGCCTATGGGTTGCCAAGTCATGGAAGCTGCTACAGCATCCCTTAGATAATTTTTAAATATTATTTCAAATAAAAATTATCTATTATCTATCTAATTATCTGTGGCAATCTGCTCCTCTACTTGCAACCTCTTCCCATTCATTCGAGATTAATGCGTATAAACCTTGCGTTACCCTGCAAAGCACCCCTCAGTGCAGCTCAGAGGGCACTGCGCTGTTTTATACCATGCAGGGAGCAATTTGGAGAAGTTATGAAAATTGTGCCCACTTGACAGAGCCATTTCTCCCCCACACACACACCCAAACCACATTTCAGAAGCCGGGACCAAAGCTTACACTCACCTTGCCGAGCACTTCCAAGTCCCCACGAAGTTGTAGCTCCTCCAAGCCTGCTTGTGGAAAATAAATTATAGAGCTGAACTATTTAAATGAGGAGGGGGAAATGGATGAAATAAGCCCAAGGAGGTGCAGGGAATGCAAGGTCTCAGCTCAGCAGCTAGAACCAACTGTGGTCTCGCAGAGCTCCCCAGTGGTATTTATGCTCTCCAGGCAGAGGACAACTCTGGAACATCCTGTTTGGCAATCGGCCTGGTTAAAAAAAAAAAAATGGGAAGAAAAGGAGGCAGGAGCAAGGAGCTGAGTGGTTTCGCTTCAGATCTCTCAGCGGTTTGAAGAGTCACCGGGGCTAGGAAAATTAGGACCATCCTCCCAAAGGCTGTAACACAACACGCGGGGAGGGGGGGGTGAAGGAGGAGGAGGAGGCGGAGGAGTGCGAGCAGACTGGGATATAAAAAGGGTTTTCTTTGCTCTCCCTGCAGGCAGTTTTCAAGCAGAGCTGTGGGTGCATCCTCCCTGCTGCGATGGGGAGACCGCGATGGCTCGGTGAGGACTGACGATGAGTTTTAGGGCAGAAAACCAAAATAGGGGTTTTCTGCAAGGGACAAGGGCCAGCTGTCTCCCGGATCAGCCTTTCCCAGCTCTTCATGGGAAAAGCCCACGGGTGGCCTTGGGGATGTCCTGTGCCAGAAGCAGGGTCCCCGAGCTGGCAGCAGCACTCCTCTGTCCCACAGCTAGGCATTTGCTGGGAAATTGAGATTTATTTCCCTCTGTGGTTCATTCCCAGAGCTTGCCTGGCACCAACATTCCCTGCACACACACACTGCTGCCGGCACAGAACGAGGAAAATAAAAAGTGAGCGAAGCATCCGGGCAAGGCTCACCTCTCCTGCAGGATAGCCAGCACCCAAAGAGCCCCAGCCCAGCTTTCGCAGCAAGGTCCTTGCCTGCGGTTGCAATCCCACACGCACTGTTGAAACACGGTTTGATTCACTGCAAAAGGAAGTGATTGAGCAAAAAGACAAGCTGAAAGATCCTTTTTTTTTTTTTTTTTTAATTAGACAAACAGGAAAACACAAAGCAGTACCGTGAGTAACTACATGAGTGTCTTACAGCACTTCTGCTGCAGCAGCAGGATGCTGCTGTGAGCGGAGCAGGTCCGGGCATCACCGCCCACGGGCACCAGGATCCCCATTACCAGGATCCCCACATCAGGGGACACCAGCAATGGGCCAGCACAGGGACAATTCCTACCTGGTGCTGGCTGATCCTGGGAAACTCACAGTGTGAGCCCCCAAAAACACAGCAAACCCAATAACCAATGCTTCCCCCATCTCCTGGATTTAGCACACCCAAGTAAAATAGCTTTATTTTTTCCTAATATCCCATCCTGTCCTCTCTTCGAGGTTCTTGGGAAGAAGTCCTTCCATTCTTCTAAACAGTAAATATTTATTTCTTGAAGCCAAACAGCAAACTACTTTATTTACTGTTTAAAGAAGGACGCTTGCAAGATATTCTGCCACTAAGTGGCTTGCTTCAACTCCAGCAGTGCTCAAAAAGCAGGACGATGTTTATCAGAATTGTTCACAAGCAAAACAGAAATATTGACAGCTCACAGAACAACTCCAGAGGGTGAAGGCAGTGAACCCTGTGAAGTCCGGCCCGTGATATCTCTGCTGATTTAATGTCTTGCACCGTTTTCCTGAGACAACTTTTGCAGATATAGCAGATTCTCAGCACTTGGGGGATGTTCAGCACCGTTTCTGGTCTACATTGCAGCTGGGACACAGTGGATGCAGCCCCCCCGGTCAATCCCAGTCTACCCAGTCAGTCCCAGTCCCCGCTGGCACTGGTACCATCCCCTTTCTGGCTCATAGATGTATTTAAAGACAGTTTCTATTTACTTCAATGCAAACCATACGTGTGAACCGACAATATATGCTGCTTCATTCCTAACAAGCACTTCTACCTTGCCTACAGCGATTCAGAGCTATTCAAGCAGCTCACTCCCAAAAGGGCTGCCACAAACATGAACAATTGAAAGACAGCACAAAACTGGGCTGAACGAGGCTCTGCGCTGCTGTACCTTGAAATCGCTGCATCCTTCCCATTTTTCTCTCTCTCCTCCAAGACGAAGGCTGTCCCCAGGGCAGCTTTACAGCACTGACTCATGGGTCCCCAAAGGTGATTTTCACTCCACTTACCAGAAACTTGGATTAGCTCGTTTAACATCTCACGTACCAGCATACAAATTATTTCCAGCTCTCTGAAAAACCTGGCATTTTGTAATCTCCACAAACGTTCCTATGGGAAATTATTCCTCATAGGTTGGTCAGAGCTGTCTAAACCCTCCATCAACTCTGCTGCCTTAAAAAGATTTGATTTTTTTTATTTTTTTTTTAATATATACCAGTGCAGTTTCACTGTGCACAGTTTTGTTCAGGGATGAGCACAGCCTAGAATGAGGCTTTTTATTCATCTTGTTTTGTTTCAAGTCAGCAGTTTCAGGTCATAAATGCGACCGAAGCCAAAACAATCAGGTTGCTTTTAATCATTCAGCGTTATTACTGCCCTGATTATAACGTCTCGATTTCATATGTGGTAAAAGCCACATAAAGCAGGCTGCATATGTAAGTACATATTAGGAGAGAAAGCTTTTAATGTAATAGCCAATGCATAGGAAGAAACACAGATTTCACTAGTCATCCCTAATTGAACATGCAGACAGCATGTCTTGATTTTCAACCTAAACTAAATTCCCCTTTATTTCTTATTCAAATATGAGCTCAGTAATAATGGCACCATTGATGAGCAGGGGCAAAGTGAAGATCTGGGCAAGAGACCCAAAACCGTGGTACTAACTCACATTTATCATTCTTCTCCAGAACCAAGAAGCACAAGTAGAATAACGTGGATGAAGGAAACCAAGTGATAAAAGAAAACGGAGAGAAACTCAGCCATAATTACGTACCATGAGAAAAGCAGGAGCTGTGAGCTCCCCCTGCCCTGTGGGTCACCCGTCCTGCCTCCTGCAGAATGAGGATGCTGCTGGACACAGGGAGGCTGCTCCAGCACTGAGAGAGCAACTGCATGGGGATCCTGAATCACTGCAGTGAAAGCCATGCAGGTATGGATTTCCCCCAAAACACTACTAATATTTGGCACCAAGAACCCCTATTTGATCTCTCTTGCTTCTCTCCCGGTTTGGGGCAGCCTGGGCTGAAATCTCCTGGGTTCATCTGCAGCAGCTTTTCCTCCTTTTTGGAATAACAAACATTTCCCAAAACTTTTAGTCTGATGGTGATGTGCAGGACAACAACTTCACACAAAACTTCCCAAAGCCTGGGATGTTTCATGAGTGCCTAAGCAAAAATTTAGGACACTAAGACAAGGAAATGAGCACACAAGCAACAGAAATTTCAGAAAATTAACTGCTGAATTTGGGAGGCACCGCTGACCCCACTAAGCACAAATGAAACAAGAACACTGAAAACTACAAAGGCCAGCACCTTGTTATCGCAGCTGGCCACGTTTCCTGGTCTCATCTGCAATAAGCGATGTTGAAACACTGTAAAATATTTTTGTTTTTCTTATTGTTTCTAGAAGTGACCAGCAGAGAACTGCAGGCTGAAACAGCTCAGAAATATTAACCCAACTCTGTCAGCTTGGGAGATTTTACCCCCAGGTGGAGAAGGTGAATCACAATCCTGTGCAGTGGGTGAAGCCTGGCTGTGAGTCTGCTGACAGAAACCCTTCCCAAATTCCTCGGGTCTTCAACAATAATAGGGAATAAAATACACAGTTGGATGACCCCCTTAACACCTCGGGAACATCCACCACGTGTCACAGCCATGCCGGTTAGATGAATAGGGTGTTTGTGACGGGAAAGCCCGGCCGTTGTGTGCCACCACTGCCCTCTGCTGCAGCAGCCCCGCTCCAGCCCAGCCTGCTGGGCCACTGCCACGGTCCCCTGCCACCCATGTCCCCTCATGGTGCCTAAGGGCAGCAGCACGGCCATGAACAGCCTGCTAGATTTTCTGAAGTGCAGCTGATGTAAAACTGCAGAGATCCTGAGGCACGTTTGGGCTGGGCAATCCCTGACTGTGTGAAATTTAACATGAGTGAGGCCAGATTCTGTGCCTGGGACAGGGCAACGCTGGCTGTACATGCAGATGGGGGACAGGAGGCTGGAGAGAAGCCTTGTGGAAAGAGATTTAGGGGCTCTGGTTAATGACAAGATGAACATGAGCCAGCAGTGGGACCATCCAAGCCCTGGGGTGCCTGAGGCATGGCCCTGCTCTGCTCTGTCAGGTGTGGCCTCACCCCAAGCACAGTGTGCAGGTTTGGGTGCCACGACATAAAAAGTACATAAAACTATCAGGGAGCCACCAAAGGAAGGCTATGAAGATGGTGAAGGGTCTGGAAGGGAAGGTATATGAGGAGTGACTGAGGTGCCTTGGTTTGTTCAGCCCCAAGCAGAGCAGGCTGAGGGGAGGCCTCATGGCGGCCTGCAGCTCCCTCAGGAGGGGAGCGGAGGGGCAGGCGCTGAGCTCTGCTCTCTGGGGACAGCGACAGGACCCGAGGGAACGGCATGGAGCTGGGACAGGGGAGGGTCAGGCTGGGGGTTAGGGAAAGGTTCTGCACCCAGAGGGTGGTCGGGCACTGGGACAGGCTGCCCGGGGCAGTGTTCACAGCACCGAGCCTGCCAGAGTTCAAGAAACATTTGGACACCGCTCTCAGACGTGGTTTGATTCTTGAATGGTGCTGTGTGGAGCCAGGAGTTGGACCTGATGATTCTCGTGGGTCCCTTCCAACTCAGGATATTCTATGATTCTGTGATTCTAAAAACCCTCCAAACTTACTCATTTTCCTTCCCTCTCTCCCCAGTTAACCAGGGTATTTTCCACCGTTTGCATCAGCACAAGTCGTGTCATTAAAAGCAAGGCACGTAAGCTCTCTGTGCTTCGATTTCCTCACAGAAAATTGAAGCAGAACAGCTTTTCCCTAAAAATCACACAAATGCCGGGTGCTGGCTGCCCCGCTGTACCTCTCATCCCAGCCCACAGCCAGGCACTCACCCAAGGCAGGGACAGACTCGTGTCCCGCGGCAGCTTTAGGGAAGGGGCGAGCTCGTGGGGTCTCTTTCATGGTCCACACGGGCATTTTGGCATCACAGTCCATGTTCACTGCTCATCGCAATGGGGCAAAGGAAGAAGATGCCAGCATGGCCATACAGGAATGGGGTTGCAGCTATGTCCTCCTTACCCCCCCACCCAGCAGCTTCCCTCAGCCTTTAAGTGATGCTCAGAGACCACAAATGCTTTCTATTGTAGGCAATACACAAG